AGCGGACATTCTCAATGTGATTTAATTGTTACTGACAACGAAAAGTAGCGAGATTATTTACTGGGGAAAAATATGAAGAGTCTTGGACACCAGTGGCCCTATTATTCGAGACGAAATTGAGCTTAGTCTTGAAATTTTATGCCTAAGTTTGCAAAATGAATGAAACTTGATAATGATTAGTGATTAGTAGTGCTGTCGGATAACTGTAATCGAGTAAGATAAGCATCGTGTTTGAGTTAGGACCTTGTAGGTGAGTCGATTTACGGACAATGATTCCATACATTGAGGGGATAACTGAATAACAAGCGCATGTTCTGCGTCGAGACAACTTTTAATTTGACCTCGAAGCACAGCATCCACCGCCTTTCTTTGGTGGCTGAAGTCATAGTTTGAAGAAGTTGCGTAAAATGCAACACATTACACTTTTACTCACAAAAAATGATTATCGTAATTGCTAAAGCAGGGGGTAGCTAAAGGCGAATGAGAATGGGAGGTCTGGAGGGATGTGTGATGAACAGTGTTGATCCACGTCCGTTGATCCGGTCGTCAGTCACCGGGGGAATGTCTGCTCGTTCACCAGTGTGCATGCACTACCATTATCGCCTCCCCCTAGCCATCCACGATACCCCAAGATTGCTCATCGTTGGTTTTTGGAACTGTTTACACTAATTCCCTAACATGTGTTTTATTACACTTTTTATCAGGTCAAGGTCAGCCTTGACTCGAATTAGTTTCACTTCCGACAACTGACTCAACACGTGGCTGACGTGATTAAAACTCTCCACACGAGCTCTGGTCTTGGGAAGGTTGGTGCTAGCGTCAGCAAGGGATCTGGTGAGGTTATTTGAGCGGTTTTCTCTATGACATGTCTCAACGTGGTTGAGGTATCTAGTAGACAGTTGTGCCTCCTCTCTCCAACCTTCTTCCCCCCTGGCGGTATCTGTGAAGCCTGGCCCTCAGGAAGTGTAATAAGGCTCGCTGTCGTTAAATCTTGCCATGGGTTTTAGCCAATACCGTTTGCATTTGGCCGAACTATCACAAGTCAGTCGTTTACTGCTAGGAGCTATTTGCGCCAACGCGACAACCTCAAGCAACACTATGGACACAGCAAAACTGCTGAGTTTGTCGTAGTCCGTGTGACGACTAGAGGGAATTATATAATTTGTCGGCAGCGAATAGACCTTTACGTCAATCGAAATTTGACAAATAATTTAGTCAAAGTAAAACAAATGTTCGATAGTGTGAGTCATATTTTGAAAGAAATCTCTGTCTTGCGATAGGCAGCTTAAACTGTGCCAGTTACTTTGTCTTCTTTTCAACGCTAGCTGGCGTGAAAAATAAGTGTCTGAACCACAAAGTATGGGCACGTTGGTGTCGCCTTCCTGCGATTCTTTGTAAATTCTCTGTACAAAACGCGCTTTGCCATTTTTTCAACTGTTCATCAAGGTTATCTTCTGTTTTTTCAAAGTAAGAAGGCCAACGAGACGTTAGAGACGAGAAGGATTTCTTCGTACAGTTTTGTGGTAGAGCATTCGTTCGAATCGGAACTAGTCAGAAGTGCACAATGGTAAGCGGCAGGAAGACGTTTCGATCAACTCACTCCATTTTGAGATGCTTCTATGAAAAGGTCATTTGCCCACCATCTACTTCACAAGAGGCGTCTAATCATGCTTCAGAATGACCGACTTCCATAATCTTTTAGCTCCACAATGATTAAACTACCCGTCGCAAAAGAAATCGGATGACGTCATACCAACATGCTAGCACTTGGTTTCAAAAATTAGTTAGTAATCTCTCCCGGGGGCAGTTAGAACCAATTTTTAATCATTCGAACAAAAAACAATACTACTGATATTCTAAACGTGCTAATCCAACGTTCCGGAGAGTCTAGGTATAATCTTGGTTAGATGGCATCCAACTTATGCGACACAGTTTTAACGCAATCAGGTCTCTGACCAGGCTCTCACAATGAAGTTTTTACGAAAAGGTGCAATGCAAATTCCTTGATATTTTTAATATCCGCAAAACCTCCGTCCCCTCCGGATTTTGTTCATCGCCAGCCAAATGCTTTGCGCACACTCAAACACAACTCGACAAACGCTTGTCATTAGCAAAAAAAGAGAGGTACAAAGGTTCATTGTGAAATTGCGGCTAGGGTAGTGTCAGGTTGTTGTCCGTGGGGAACGAGGTAGATCTTCTTGGCGATGGGCTGTGGGTGGACCTCTTGACTGCAGGTTGAGACTCGCTGCAAAATGTGCCATAAAATGATGCGCCTTAAATGCATAAAGGAGGCTACTTAAAATTGGCTTACGGGAGTAGGACATTGTAGGTTGGTACTGACAGACACTGTCCTAAAAGTAGCCAGAGACGCAGGTTGAAATGAAGTGACTAAAAAGAACTATTACTCCACAAACTACAAATGGAAACTAAGAGGGCCCCATTTTGTGTTAATGCAATCACAAGTAGTTATAGTTACCGCGCATCTTTATAACATTAATGTTAATGGGGTAAAATGAGAAAAAAACTGACTTAAAGCAAATTACTAATTTTAGAAAAGATTATTTTTTTCAGAAAATACCGTGGAGTGTTGAAGTGTGTATTCGTATAATCTTTACATATGTGGAACAAGTATATCTACCAACTAATTACCTGATTACCTCAGCCTAAATCTTTTTAGCAAATATTAACATATTCGTGGGTTTTTTTCTGAATTTGGGCAAATCAATTTACTTTACCTAAGATACACTATATACACTCGGGTCCCTGTACACGATTTCTAACACCGAAAAGTAGCCTTAGTTTTTTTTTAAAAATAGTATTTAATTATCAAGCAACATCGCCTTACGGTGGTGGATAACGTCGCTATATGCGTTTATACCATACCATTTCCTTGGAACTAGGAGGCAAGTTAGACGTACGAAATATGCTTATGATTAAAAACAGCCAAATAAGGCAGACACATATTGTTTCAGTCAATAACGAAAAAAGGATCAGTATCCACTGCATCTTCATTAAGGTGACGTTAAAAGGTGCAAAATGTTTTTTTTGAAATCGAGCAGAATAATTCTTTAAATGAATCGCTTTATGCATTGCAAGGTATCAAGGCTCGCAATGTCTTTGGAGAACGGAGTGAAAGTGGATTAGAGGTTGGCATAAAACTGCCTTTTCTACACTTTATAGTAGCTAGGGTAATGTTAGAAAGCATTTGAGAGTGTGAGTTGTTGTAACGTGTTGAGTAATGCTGATCTAATCTAGATCTAGCTCACTGCGAACCACTGAGACACGCAATCGTATCTACTCTGAGCTGTGCAAATCTTATCGACAGAAATCACACGAATTCCGTGGCAGTGAGGTGTAAGCGATTCTGATAAGTGTTGTCACGCAAGTGGTTGAGTGGAGGTGTGTAGGATTTCGGAGTGATGCCGATTAGATTCAAGTGAGCAAATGTGGCCCGCCACAGGGCTTGTATGGCATGGTCCCGCAAGAAAGGCACGTCGTCGATAAGTTAAGATTGTTTGGTCAAATTTGAGCAGATTTTAAGACCCCTGTAAGCAGCCCGAAAAATCACTTGCGAAATCAACAAATACTCTTCGTATAATAAGGATAATTAGCGACAAAATCAGTTTGCAATGATGCAATATCATTTTAATGTTTAATTGTTTAATGGAACTGTCTTGATCTGTTATGGTATTTTTTAAAACTGGTAGGAGGCATTAATTAAATTGCCAAGGTTCCGTGTCCACATTTACTTCAGCGTTCAGTAAAAATTATTTTATTTAAATAAATGATCTTTTTTTGTACCACGCAGCTAGTACGATTGCTTATAGCACAGTTCACATTGTGGATAGATAAAATTTAAGATCCCAGGAAAATAACTTACACCAATCCGTTCACCTATTCCTATACCAACTCTTTTTCTTGCAGGTTTCACTTTAGCAATGAATGTATTCTGCCGATGACCCGGTGAGATTACACTCTACTAATGTGATAACGGTGATTTAAATCACATAAGTTGACTGATTGATTCAATTAAAGTTATGGTATTTTTTTAAAATCTAAAGTAGTCAATTTGAAAGATCTAGACTTTGAAATGACATCCTGAACATCTTGACTCAGGACTATCACAGACGCAATGCATACGATGAGGAGTTTTTTAATAAATAATTTCACCAATGGATTTGGGCGAAATAAAAATAATTTGATTGGTTACTACAAAACCTGGCCAGAATCTCCAAGGCTGCGAGTAAATATCATTGTGGGAATTAAAAAACCTTTTTAAAGGGCAAAATATTTATACATTATCCAATGAAAATAATGAAAACGTGTGTCAAATGAAATTTATCCAATCAGAAGCAGAAATATAAGCATTAAAAGGACCAATACTAAATTTTCAAAAAAATTAGTGCTAATATTGTATTGGTAGCCATTTGTCAAATTTCTGACTTGTAGTCAATTTTTAAACGAATATTCAGGCATAGAGCTATAATCCGATATTCTCTTTTGGAAACTGACGTGCGACTAATATAGAAAGTGTTATAGAAGAAACGCAACTTAAATTTTAGTTAAATTTAAAATATCGTAGGCTCATGTGGGAAGCGAACAGTTCTGCAATATTCATGAATTTATTTTGGGTTAATAGTCATCTACTGTGGTGACAAATCATGAAAAATGTGAGGGCACGCAATCTTTTGCTAATTGGGTGCTCTCAATAGAAGGCATAAAACGAGTCGTAAAATACCAGGCGCATTGTGCACGGAACCCGCACTGCGTGTTATCTCGGACCCGAATAATCTCGAATGCACGCTTATCAGGAGCGCTTTTGTGGATAAAAGCGTTCATATCTTCCGTCTGCTTACTAGGCGTTATTGCACTTTCATTTTCGTGTTATACCGTAGGTTTTAATTCAAATAAAACCACCACAGATAGGACGATGTGTCGTAGTTCTATTTGATTTTACAAAAACAGCCACGGTGTAATCAAGCTACCAACAGTAGTAAGGATTAAGTTTTAATTTTGACGGCCTTAAATTTCAACCACAAATGAGTCCTCATACTCAGGGGATTTACCGAATTCGCAAACCGAATGTTCGTTCGGACTGATCGGTTATTGAGTGGATTGACTGCTCGAAAGTTGTCAGCCATTGAGGTAGACCAAAGCGTCTTATCTGTTCGCAGTTGCCTAAGGATTTTCATCTGAAATGTAGAACAGATTGTTGACATAATTCAGCATAAAATTCTATCACGGTCGAATTTAAGAGCCGTTTTTTTACCTGAGACATCAATCTGAAACGATATGTAAGAGAACCCGATTAGGTTAATTAAATTTGCATATTTGATTTAAAAAATAATACAAGTGCTATTTACATTATTCTTAAAAGGGACAATATTCTTATCTACAAAAAAACAGCCGGACAAATAATTGGCAATATTTTGTACTGGATTGCACTTAGCAATAAAGTGTACGGTCTACTTAGAAGCCCCTCAAGGAAAGATCTCCATGGACTTACGGGCTGTTTGCAGCAGTTGAGGCATGATCTAGCCGATACTTTAATTAAAGTTAAAATGTAAATCAATCAGTTTACCAAATACAACAAGACGTCTACCATTTACGGCTAAACTGAACGAGTTAACTTCAAAATAATCAATTATGGGAAGGCTCTTCTGTGCACTTGTTTGTACCACTTGTTAATGCACACCTGAAGGGACGTCATCAAATATTGGCTGCTTACTTGGCAATCTATTCAGGCCATTCTGGAGTCAAAACAAGAATTCCTCTCACCTCTCTAGGAGAGATTTGAATTGACCTGTTGAGGATTATCCACGTGACAGTTTCAGCACAGTTGGGAAAGGGCAAGGAGCCCTCGTACGTCATGTACTCGTCGACAACCGGAAATAGGGCCTGCAGTTCGATGCCTTTGAGGTTAAACTTGTTCCCTGTGAAAAGACACAAGGCACCAAACACTGCCACTAAGTCGAGCAAAATGATCGCTAAAACAACCGCTTTCAAGCCAACACTTGTTTATTTACACATTGCCGTTTTGTTTGTTTGAAACACACGTGAACACCCCGAAACATGAAGCAATTCCTGCAGCAGCAAACCATGTATAGAATTGTTTTCAGCATTTACAGGGGCTAAAATCCTCATTTTTCCCTTATATTTCTAGACAAACGTACCATTCTATACAACTTGAACGTTTGGCTCAATTACCGTTAGCACAAAAGTTGGCGATGAGACGAATCCATTTATCAAGTTTGTGTTCATTCAATTAAAAAAGCGGATTTATTTTTCAAAACTTCCACGGGAGCAAATCAGTGAACAGTGCAAGGCTACAACATCAAATGACTTCATGTTGGTTGAAATATCCTTCTTGTTTTGGCTAACCAAAACAATGTGAAAACACGAAGACTTCCAACGTTGGAGTGAAGCAGTCACATTGTTCAGATTAGGCCTAACTTGCCTTCAAAAAGACAGGTCTTTCCAGATGGATTATACTGAATTTCCTCGAATGTTTTGAGGACAATTGCACCATTGATAATTTGAAACGACTGTATTGTGAGATGCGGCGAAACGATTGCAAAGGAATAAGCGGGAAATTAATCACGACATCGACTAAATGCTGCTCGACAATGTCACTAGTGTTTCAACAAACATGCAACCAATTTTGCACTGGTTAAAGTTTCACATTGGCCCTACTTATGCAACAGGCAGCATCTCAAAGCGCAATTTTTAGGCTTGTCGAATAAATGAGTGCCTTTGGATTTGAATACTTGTTAAATTCGAATGTTTTTAAGAAAAAATTTGCCCAATGGTATCTGATTTCTTTGCGCTTTCCCAAAACGATGTCAACAAATTGGATGGTTTGCTTAGTGAACATTGGAAATCCTTGAATGTCAAGTATTTATCACCAATGTTTCTTTGCTTTGCTGGTCGCTGAGCTTTCTACAACTATAACCCTAAATTATGAGTAAAATTTGTCCAAGAAATACGAAGGATGAACAAAGTAATGTATTCATTTGCAACTAAATGGGAATATGACATTAAGGGATCTGAAACGGCTTTCTAATGTTTCAAGACTGATCAAGTTGAGTGATATCCGGGAAAATTTTTGGTGGAAGAATTTGACACAAGCCTCGAGTTATCTTACCGTCGCTGCCGTCGCACAAATTATTATCATATTCACAACCGGGCAGAATGCTGCAGATACAATCAGATAAGCTGTCACTCTGTCTTACTGTGTTAGACAAAACGGTCAACCACTGCCAAAAATCCAGTTAAATCATCAAGTGGAATCAATCGAGGTGATAAAGAGAATCTTCTAAGGAGGCCAATGGGTGAACAACACATCAGTCGAAGATAGTCAACTTTTAACGAGAGCCTGTATTTTCAAGGGCAACGTGCTTAGAACCAGTACAGACTTTACATATTTAATCTGCAAGAATCGTTACCTTTTCTATTTCCAGGCAGCTCTGAGTAGTTAATTGCCAATGTAATCTTCTGATTAATACGAGACAAGACATTTCAAAGTTTAAGAATGGACCTTGGCTGTAGTACGCGAGTTATACAAGTAATTTGGCAATAAATTATTTTTTTATAGAAAAAACGTCTTCCACACACCAACGGCGATCATCGAAACAGACCTGGGTAGTTACAGCAATAGCAAAAGATTAGAATATAAGTTCGGTGGTAAACGCTTTTCTATCCAAACAGGTACAAACAATGCTTGACTGGTTTAAAGATTTTTATTTGTGAAATACATGCACGAGTCATGTAAGGTCATGCCGATTTTATGGGCATACAATCTACTATTTACTTCCACAAAACACGTTAAATTTTGATATTAGTAATCGCCTGGAATCCGGGAATCGAGGTAACGTCCGACACATGGTCTCATCGAAACGAAGACCTGTTCAAAATCACCCTCTAGTCACAAGAAGATACAAGGAAAGTCAGATGTCAGAGTTGGAGAGGTACTGCGACACCAGTCCATTTACAACCCCACGGGATAACTCTTTTGTGAAGGTGTATCAAACTCTTATGCAGGCATTCGTTTAGTACGTGGTACTGGTGTCGATAAAATTGTTATGGGATAGACTGATAACTTTCTAAGCCGACTGAGAATTCGAGGGACTCAAATACCAATCTCTAACAAACTTTCAATTCTGTACAATAAGTCTATAAACTAGTTCGCTAATAATGGCTGACATGGGATTTTAAAGAAGGCAATTCACTGCCGGTCACTAAACAGCCGTTTTGTTAGGATTAAAAGCGGGTCAGTGACCTCGATTACTAGTCACATTTTGGCGGTGGAGGCGCATGTTTACGTTAGAAGCGCCAAGCATAGTTATGTCACAATTAATATGAAACAAAAAAGATTACCATACGAGGGCTTTCCGATGAGAGGAGAGCATTAACTGCTGTTCCGCGTTCGAGGCAAAATCTCGGAAGTGTGTCGTTTGTGAACAAATGAATCACTTATATTACTAACTAAGGATAAGTGAAAGTTTTTGAGAACCGACATGAAAGAAAACGCTTTTCTGGTGAGAATCACTGTCTGCGCTTTAAGGAAAAACAAATTTAAGTGCACGAAACTTAATTAACATCATTTGTCAAAGCTAACTTATTAAAGTTCCTACAAGGAATTGATTTCAATGACCCAAAAATGCTAATTTAGCATTAAGCTGATGATCATTTAGTGTCCAGGTGCATTTCCATAAAACCCTTAGAGGTACTTTACATTTCACATTAATTATCTTTCAAACGGCAAACAGTCGGTCGTGACCATGGCGATTTAGTGAAAATTCGCAAAAAACCGTATAAAAATTATTTTCCATCACAATTAGCAAACGAGCATGGGGTGAGCAATAACCGCATAGACCCTAATGATTAATCGAAATCGGTGTCTATAACTAGGCATGAAGTGGCTGTTAATGCACAACGGTAGTCACGTGTACGCCTCTGTCAGGTAGTTTTCCTTGTGTAAAAAAATAGTCTTGAGTCTTAATATATAGATTTCGTGCTTCAGAAAAATGTTAAAGCACGTTCAGACCAAAGAACAAACGGCTTCAACGAGAGAATAATGAGAATAACATTTTTTTAAATTCTAGTGAATGCGGCGATTTCACGGTGACAAAACATAAATTTGAGTAGGGGAGCCACAGCAGAACACCAAACCACCTGCATTTGCTGCCAAAGATGAATGGCTTCACTGAAGCTACACACCATGGCCAAAAGTTGGTTTTAATGAACCAGAAAACAAGGGGCTGAGAAACGAGGTTCATTGACATGAAACCAAAATATTTACAACAGTACCAATGTGCGATTTAATCCAATTTTTTTACAGCAAATTGTAGTTTGATGTTTGCTAATAAGTAAAGAAATACGTGTCAAGTTAGTAAAAAAACCGCAGAATACAAACGTGACAGCGGGATTTTAGCGAAAATAATTACTTCATTCTAACATTTGACAATCTGAATGACTCCCAAAAGTCAGCAATTTAAAAAAAAAATAATTTCACTTTGTAAAATATTAACTAAACCTTAGAAATACTCCGCCACGTAGTCTACACTTGTTGTTTAGGCCACTGTGTGTCCGTTGAGGCCTGAAACGCACTCGATCGTAAAGTCTCTTTGGTAAAGAGCCACAGTGCGCCCACCCCCCTAGTTCCTTTTAGTGTTTTTAAACTGCGACGTTTCGCTAAGAAGTTTAACTGAAAGGTTAGGGTCCTACATCACTGGATGTCTAAACCAAACCGCCAAAAGGCAATTGATAATTCCGGTGATGTTTTCTCAAGAAACACTTAACATATATATATGAAATTAGTCCCTCGATTCGCAAACCTCGTTGGCGGTATGGGACGGTGAATACCATGTTCAGTGTTCAATGCTTTCGTTCCAGTAGTATCAGTAGAACATTGTCTACCGCACTAGCTTGCATTAATTTACGACTACCAAACAAAGCATTTGGGCAGGTATTAATTACTAAGTTTAAGTCGAGTGAATTAAATGTTGGCATCTTACACAATGCAGTCTTCTTCTTACTATTCGATTCACTAATTTACGTGGATCAAGATAAAAGCTGTTAGGGCAATCCTTCAAAGCACGATTGGCAAATCCAGACAGGCAGGAAGCCTTTTTGACAGCCAATAAGCAAAAGTTCGCGAAGAACTCACCTAAGAACTGGGTTTTTTCTGCTGCCATAACAATTCCCATTAGGTCCTTGTTTGTCTCTGAAGAGAGCTACAAAAAAGTCAGAGGTGAGATGGTTAAGAAACTGCCTTCATGACCCTTATTTTTATTCAAAACTACTTTGCACCATTGCAACCTTCATGGGCAACATTTTGAAGGGCTTTTTTAAACTTGTGCCTGGCAAATTTTAAGCACACTTCTTAGTTAAGATAAAACATAACAGAGTTGCTCCATTTTGTCCGAATCACTGCGTTCACTTTTACCAAATCGCGTCAAAGAGTAGACAATATTCTAGTGAGACTAACTATCGTATTTTACGACACTTGGAACGAGAATATCACAACAAACTTACCCAAACAGCATGTTTTAAAGTCCACAGATAAATATTTTAGTAGTTCTCACTAGATTACGTGCATTTAAACTATGTTAAGTCAGCGTAAAGAAGTACGTACTTGGAGCATACTAGAGAATGCCGCGATGCCATTTGGTTTGTCAACGGCGTCGGCGAAACTTCGATATAAGTCACTATTGTAGGCATATAACTGCAGCTAAAAAAACAAGCAAAATTGACTTTGCATCAGGAATATTTTAATCAGTCGTAAAGAGCATGAACCACACAGAAAAAGTTATCGGTTTTACGTGGAAACAGTGGGTGCTCAAGCCATGTACCCAACATTGACCGGAAAGGAATAATGAAAGTTAAACAGCCCTTACGGACAAATTTCCGGCATTTTAGACGACAAAGTCCTGCGGAGTGTTTTGAATCGAACGACCCAAAAGCTTATGTGCAAATGTCGCACTCGAAATGTCCTTCCACATCGAGACTACTTCCCACTCGAAAGGAAGAGTTCTAGGACATACCTCTCCAGGGTAGGCAAAGGAGTTGACTCGGTGTTCAGAGCCTCGGTCAGAAGAAGAGCCGAATTTTAACCGCATTTCACTTAGCCGGTAGGTGTAGGAGAGCGGTCCGCCGGAAAATGTGATGACACCGAATATCACAGCGAAGAGGAGGTCGTGACCGGCGTTTTCTACCGAGATTGTGAGCTACAGTGCGGGCAAAATCACAGTCAGTTTGGAAAGCTCCTTGAAGCCCAATGTCTCGATGCGCTTGTTTTACAAAAAAAGCTTTAAATTATGCCAACTTTATACGTGTAGGAACAGGGAAGCAAACGTTACGACCTACCGATAGACCAGATCCATATATTTCATTCCTTAGATGTTCTAAGTAGTGCAGTTTAGAAATGTTGAGAGATTTTCGTTCGACATTGTTTTATGAGCAGCATGCATTATGACAAATCGCGCTATTTAAATACTCACACAACAAAAAGGACCACATAATTCCCTCAGAAGTTCCTTCCCATAAAAATTTTAGCAGTTAAATAAATCAAAGCTGTTAGGCTTTAGCGTTTCAAATGGCAAACGGTGTTAAAAGTCATTTTCCCAGTCAACATTTACCACAACTCATTTAGTTAAATAAGAACTAAAGTAAGTTACATAAAAAATGTTAAATTGTGTTTATGTTAAAATTTGAAATTGTGATTTATTGACAATTAAGGGTTCTAATTATTAACGCAAGACAAACATGATTCAAAAAAGGACACAAAGATGGCAAGTTTTGTGGTTTATGCGCCTGAATATCGATTTTATGATAATTGAAAGGCCTCACTGCATGTGCTCATTAAGTGTGGTTTAATAAATAGCTTATCCCTTTGTGCAGTCACTGCCGAAATTTTAAAAAAAAATTATTTGTAGGTCTTGAGTTGCAGAAAAGCGCTTGCCTGTCTCGCACACAATTTGTTCTTGAAACCAGAGTTAACGACTGCGCGTTCATTGGGATTCCAAAAGGACATTTGTTGAAGATAATTGGCGCTTTGAAAATGTCATCAAGGCTGAGTTAACACAAGGTATTACGCCACATGCAGGTTCACATTCGTTAAAAGTCGAAAGGTTTGTGAAATTAGGGATTCAAGGGCAACACGTCACAGGTTTTGACTGCATGAAAGCCATCGTGTACCATCGTGTACCAGATTTATCGTTTTTAGCGAAGCCAGATGGTTCACTGGATGACTAATTGGATTTCAAAAGGTTTATTAGTGCTAATTGACAGCCAAGTAAATACATGAAGTGCGTGGAATCCCACGAGTAACCCTCTTGAAAACCACGCCGAACCAATGAATAACCGCTGGCTTTAACTGATTTACATGTAAAAAACTCCTCGATAATCCATCTCGTTACCAGTTTTGGTTTAAAATGGTTTATTAGGTTACGATAAAAGCGACAACATACGATAAAGTAAAGGTAAATCATTTCGGGAAAAGCTAGCAACAAGAGATTCTGCTTCCTTAAATGGTACCAGCAGAATTAAAGTACAACTTTTGCACATTGAAAACGTCTAAACTAACCACGGGAAATTTTTTACAAGCAGTTTGGTTTTTAAATAAGTAATGGGGGGAAAGTCTTCGTTAACACGCTATGGCAAACAGGCGGAATAAGTGAGAATTTTGAAGCGGGCTCATAAATCATTTACGATGCTGGGGGTTTCAAAGTTTAACTGAGCTCACAATTTGATAGGACGACGGGTTTGGACAGAATGACTCTTGAGATCACAATTTAGTCCATAAGTAAAGGTTTTCATTGACAACTGAAACGTCTGGTCAGTAGTCAATCAGCATGACATGCAGCCTAACTTGATGTAGCAAAATTCGCCTGACTGAATACTCGATTCTGCAATTTCTTGTCTCTGGCAACCTAAAAACAGCTACGAATAAGGCAGTTATTAAAAATGCATTATAGCCATTGATGTCAATTTACAGACCATGAAGGAAGGTTCGCATTGATAATGGCATTATCAAATTGGGCAATAAAATGTGGGTGGTTTAAACAGCAAACTCTAAAAAGTTTAACAAAGCCATGCTACTTACGCTTTTAAGAAACAACTAATTTGCAACGTTGAGAAAAAATAACAGAAGCTGAAGCAATTGTGATTAGTCTGCCTTGCTCATAATGTTTAGAATATTGGTTAAAACGGAGATGGATTTAATGATGTTTACAGCAGCAGATAAAATTTACTCGTCTATTAATATACAATGATTTTTCCATCAGTTTAAATAAATACCTTCAAAGCTTTCATTAGAGTTTAATTATATATTTGTTATGCACCCTGGATACACTGTACACAATAATTAATACAAGTTTAACAGCTGACGGTTAAAATTGTTTTTTTGATAAAAAAGCTGCATAATAAATAAATACACAGTATGAAGGGTTAAAAAGCGACTGAAGAGGAAAAGGCACAACACTATAAGTGAATAAATCCGCAACTTCTGTGTGAAACTGCAGTTAAAACGATGTATGAGGTCACCTCGAAAATGCAATTTTTAAAACCATCGACTGATGATCGGCTTCTTTTAAGTTCGATGCTACAAAAGTAAGGCGTTAAGGAAAAAACAAGGCTTATCAAATTGTTCGAATAAAATCGCAGCCACTAAAGCAAAACCGCCAGTAACCTTCTTAGTTTTCAATATTGTTACGGTTTCAACTGTAAATTTTGTAATAAAGATGTTATTAAGACCATTTTACGGGAAAATTTGGGTTATTTTATTCTTGCGACCAATTCAAATATGTCAAAGTGGTCCTAGACGTTTTTTGTAAAGATTAGCATTGTACGTGGAAAGTTAATCAAGCTTGTAGCAGCCTACTGAAGCAGAAGTTGTTTCGACGAATCAATTTTGAACTGGTGATTTCTTCCGTTAAAAGTTGCAGAGGCCAAAATCTGGGAATATTTTGACCGACAGATTAGTACTGCTAATAATGGTCTGAAATATTAAGTGGAGGTTAATGACCTCTGCAAAACTTTTCTCCTTTCTCGATAGTTGAACCTTTTACACTCCACTGTGACAATAATTCAAATACAGCAATACTAAGGAGAATCATCCACTATTATCATCATAAAACACATGAAAAATGACAGAAAATTGAACTTCGCAGCTGTAACGACACAACATATCTCAAATTTTAGACTTATGTTGCTATAGCAATGTTCGATGAGTCTAAAAGGACTGTGGAGATTTTTGCGCGCAAATAGTGCAAGATAAACCATTTCCAGTCAGACTAATCGCTTAAAACTATTAAAATCGATAAATAGGTGAACTTGATTGGATCGTTAAAAGTTTCAAGGCCGAATTTTAAGAAAATTAAATGGTACAATAGTACAATGGTACAGTAGTAAAATCATTTTTACAATTGCATAAATGACAAAAGGACAAGTTGTGACTATCGTGGTCTAAAACCTTGGCGCTTTAGAACATCAGTTGTAATTCCTCTTACTCGAGAGTAGTATAATTAGATCAATTTACCCACAACGTGTTTGTAAGAATGCATTTGATTAATGAAATACGCCCTTATTTATCACATGATGCCTTCTGTGGAGAATTTAGTGACAAATGATGTCGTTAATGTCTTTAAACATGGAAATTTGATTGCGTTAGTGCAAGTGGTTCACATATAGCATCTAAGCAGCTACGTATAACAGTAATGTAATGAAGAATTTTATTCGCCACTTTAATTCAAATAATTCAATTGACAACATCTGCAAGAAAATGATTGTTTAGAACGCAGGCTCTGAAAATTTTAAATGAAAGCGCCATCTCAGAAAAGATGGAGGCAGCAATAGAGCACATAAAATACTTCTTTAAGGCAACTATTAATTTTGGGCGCATAGCCTAAACGAAATTCAAAGGGGAGCAAGCAAAAAGTATTTTCTTACGTTTGTTTTCATCATACCAAAGTTTTTACTCTCTTAAAAGTTGATATGCACTACAGGCTTAACTTGTAATTAAGTGCGATTTATATCAATCAGACGTGTAGACGTTGTGCTACACTAAACAGAGGGTTGTCAATAATCAACCTTGATTAAAAACCAAATCATCAGTGGATTAGCGATGTTTGCCTTTGTCGGTCAGTCCTGATTGGTTAACTCGTGGCAACAATTGTTTCACCTCATATGTCTAAATGACAATTTGCTGCTTAACTGGTCAGCCACACAAAAAAAATGGCCGGCCGGAGTAAAGGCGAAATGCCGCTTTGTTATCTAAACTCGATGGCGTGCGAGTTGGGATTCCCAATGACAGGCCAAATCGCTGCACAGTTTGACTTTCTTCCCGCTGAGCAAGTATGCATTTTGCGCCAGATATGTGACTCTAAATGCAGACCAACCATGGTATCTACGAGGCGTGTTATGTGTGATTCGCAAAAAATACCAGTCGCGTATTGTTCCATTTCTACTTATTTTAGGCCGCTTAAGCCAAAAAAAACTTTATTTCCAAAGACAAATTGGTTTAAATGATTCGTAAGTTGCAATTTTAGAACTGCAAATAAAATTTCGTTGCGCTTTTTTAATTTTGGGGCCTTAAAAAGCAAAATAATTAACAAAGAACACAAATAGATAATAAGCATACTGATAAACATAAGCAGATACCCGCTGAGTTATAGTAGTGCACAACTGTACATTCAGTCTTTTGACTAGTTTAGTCTTTTTAGGTATTATTTAAGAGTCATTGTTACAACTGTCGTGTTATTTCCAAATAACCGCTTGTTTTAATTTACTGGTTTTGCCGGGGCACTATTCACAGTGACCAATAGTGTTGTGTTGTCGTGTTATTTCCAAATAACCCATTGTTTTAATGTACTAATTTATTTGGAACATTATTCAAAGTGCCTAACAGTGTTGTGTTGGAAACATTTGCAGTTTGTTCTACTTACTGTCGTAATATTTGCAAATTACGCAACTGATTGTCTCTGCTGTTCTTCGGTTCTAGCACGCAGATCCACTATTGCTTATGCAGGTGTTATTTACAGTCATTTTTGCAAAGAAATTATTCGCTCAAAACGAAATGACTCATTCATGTAATTTACTGACCTGCTGGTCTGCGCCGTGTAGCTCTACCGGACGTAATGAAAGGTCAAAGATTAATGTGTCTGTGATTATGTCAATTGGAGACTGTCGTCGTCCGTGCTTGCACGTCGTAAACTCGTCGGTGTTTGCCGCTAACTTGGTAGCTTCTCTTGTCATTCCTCCGGTCACAGTCCCTAAAGCGACAAATTTCACGCATTCTTTTATTATCGTGAATGTTGAATAGTGAAATTAGTCACTCCCAAATTGTAATTAAATGGTTATGAATAAACAGACATATTTTGCGTCATTGACATTGGAAAAAATAGTTAAATATTCAGCCAATAATGATTTCCGCGATTTTAACCAATCACAATAAAGACTGCTATTCGGGTTACATTGAAAAAAGTCGTTTCAGTTGCTAAAAAATTTCGCATTTGAAAAAATGCAAAATTGCTCATTATTACTATACACGACTGGGTGTATCCATGCTACACGATTTAAGTATTTAAAGTTAGGCCACAGTTGTGTAGGGAAAAAGAGAAGTCGTAAATGCAAATTAATAATTTTCAAGTGTTTAATTGAATCTTTTATACATCTAACGCGCTAAAATGCCTTTCAGATGCCTCACACTGACATATTCCCATTTCCTTGTTAGGAAACCTATTGTAGATTAGGTATCTATACTTTTTGACTTGAGCCTGGTTCCTGTCATTTATTATTAATTAACGAATTCACACTGTTCACAAGAATCATTCAAACTGCTAATCTTATAATGGGAAGCGACTTGTTTTAGCTAAGCAAATCGCTACTTTTACAGCTCAACTAGACTTAAAGAAATCCAAAATTAGCAGCTCCTTGTTGATGCTAAATAAAGCTGCATGGTTATTAAAACTTCAGACAATTATTTGTTTTTTTTCCGAAAGGTGATGGACGTTCAATTTGCAAGTGTGCCTCAAGGACAATGCAATTTACTCGAAAAGGAAGTTACAAAATGTCCAGAGCTCGTTTAAACAGTCGACTGCGTTTATTAAACAACCAGTGTGCATTAAGGATGTTGGTGGTCATGGTTAAACATTTACTTAAATTATTTCTAATTGCCGGTAGGTGACTAAATGCTGCGTTCTTTTACCGTAAATAACGAAGCATAAAGCTTGGGGTGACACGAAGAATATCTGTGGGTCTACCTACTGGAATTTTGACTCCTTGCTGCTCACAATATCAACTCACAAACAAAATTTGATTCTAAAATATGGGAGCATTGTCGCCCTTTGTTAATGTACACATATATACTACCTTTAGGTCAAAAGTGACATTTTGGATACGGAAGATCACCATGGCAGCTTCCGTTTTTACATGGCAATATTTGTTAGGTACGAAGGCTTGAGTCAAAAAAATAAATAGACACTAGATTACGAGACTATGGGTATTTGTGAGGTAAACAAGAGTTATCAATTTGCGTGAAAAACAGAGCTATATTCTTGACTTGAAAAGCACTTATTTTCCTTCTATATCAATCCACTCAATCAGCCCAAACCTCATTTGATGGGCATGACTGTCTCAGTGGCAGTCTTGTCACTTTCTCAAACGAAACGGCAGGTTAAATCTAAAGCCCTGCCTGCTACTCTTATCGTAGATAATGAGGTAGCCGGCTATTGAATAGTTTTCCATAGGATTGCGCGTTGGGACTTAACCATCGAACATAAATTACCAAAATAATGTCTGATTTTGGGCGAGGAATCCTTGACAAAATGAGAATAACTAACGGACAATGTGTTCTCTTAGCAGAGCATTGATTCAGATAATACATTCCCGAACCCTACTCTTAATTTATACCAGTTCGCAATGCGTTCTACCTTGGAACTTTTAAATCATCAAGGTTAAATCTCTTTGGTTAAAATAGAGGCGTGTTTTGGCGGTCTTAATTCATACCTGTTTTATAATTTTAATTTGAAAAAAAAATGCAAGTTAACACAACGGCAGAATAATAAACTTCACGTGTTTCCGCTGTAAATAAACACAATAAAACACTGCTTCAAGCGAGAGGTAATGCCAATTAGAAAGAGATTATAATCCTACAAATCTTGGATATTTTTTAAATACGTTTTTTGCATATTTTAGATGAGATTGGTGGAAGTACTAAGGGCGATGTGTATTTTAAGTACTTACCAAATAAACGCCTTGTTTAACCATCAAGTAAATTCTTGAGTGGTCAAAAAACAACTTTTACTTTATATCTGAAATGCCAATTTAATTCAATTAAAACTGTATCCACAAATATCCACCATTTTTGCAGTATTTACAATACGGAATGCAAAACAAGACCAGTATTGTAGAAGTTGTTTTTGCTACCTAGACACTAATTTCAGTTATCAAAAAGGGTAATTTAGAGACGCAAATGGCAGTTATTGAAACGCGCCATCCAAAGTCCATTTCGCGTTTTGAGTTTAACTTATAACACCTACGCTTTTGGTTTCAGGCTGAAGGGAGCTTGTAAGTTCCGAAGTGCTGTTTTTGTCAAAACGGACTACGCCTATGCTCTTAATTAGTTAGACCGCCCTTTTTTTAAAAAAAAATGTTCCATATTCAGGGAAAATGGTTAAGTATACCAGCGCTGCTTGGTCTGTTGTGGGCCTCAAAATCCAGAGCTTTGCAGAAAGCACCAATTCAAGCCTACATTCAGGAAATTTATGAATACCAATTCGTACTGTTGCATAATTAGCAATTTTAAAAAAATTCAAACCTTTTTTAAAAAAATACTGGCAAAAATAATTGCTTATTTCCCCTGCTTAGTTTACATTTTTACTTTTAAACGTGCTAGAGTTAGGTGCTGCGAAACATAAGACAATGTCTCCTACTTCGAATCGAATTAAATTTTGCCATTAGATTTACTGAAGTGCACAATCTCGGTTTTACCTCATACAAAGCTTTAAGCCACTGGATTTTATTTTTTTTAATTATCGTGAAATGATTGCTTAAAATTGAATACTAATATGGATTTGACCTCCGTCACAATTGTTGATTGCACGAATTAGTGATTGTGTGAACAATTTGCAGGAGAATTTGATTTGTCTGCAAGTAGTTTAAAAAGTGTAAGGTACAAGAGCAACTCAGGCTGAAGTTGTATCCAACAAGAAAACTACATTTAAAGCCACGATATAGTGACAAACGCAAACATTAAAAACATTTATTTAAGCTTTGATATCCCCATTTACGTGGCCTAACACAAATATGCATTTCAGTAATCTAGTATCAAATGAATGCGCTTGTTTTCATCAATTTAACTGTGATTTTTAAGTCTTCAGATACAACTTTCATTATCGCACCTCTAAACTCACTGTGCAAGGTCTTTGTATGGGAGAAATCTTAGATTTATGAATGAAACACTCAAAAACAAAACCTTGTTAGCTACGTATTGTTTTATATATCATTGTCAACTAAATTTTCTCGTGCTGACTGACCACCACCTGTTACTGTAGGCCGCTGTTTTTACGACAATCACATGGTAATTAATAATGCTAGTTGAATCTATAAAAACGTGAAATTCCTGTAGTCCACTTAGGCGGTATCCAATTAGCTGAGGGTATGCACTAAATACGAAGACTACTGATTCAGCAAGATCAACTTTAATTATCAAGTAAAAAAGGTGCGTGCGGTTTTCGTGATATTGAAAATAGGCCTCAATTTATCCCACTCAAGCCATTTCAAGTCTAGTTGAGAGTTCTTCAACATTCCAAAAGTTGATTTTTCTGAGGGGACCCCGAAATGCGAGACCCCAAGCTATACCAATCGGATCAATAAAAGTATTTTTGAAAGGTATGCAATTGCATTACAAAGCCTGTGACCTGTAGTGGACTGACAGCCGCCCCGCGCTAGTGTGCGTCCATGAGGGCCCGTGTGTAGCGATGACTCATCCCCTTTTCTTATTGATTTTTGTCAGCATTCGCCTGTTACGCACGCGTGCTCATACGCACACAAAGCCACTTGGCTGGTTCAACTCTAATAAACGGTCGTGTTCTCTGTCGCCTCCTTTTTCCTATCCTCGGGTAGCTACGGGCTGTTAACTAGAGGGTTGTAAGGTAGTGCTAAATCCTCTAGTCACTACAGACCTGGACTGCATTTAACATAATTTGGGCCAAGACATACGGTGCACTTGTTGTGCAAAAACAGTAGAGATAATTGGTGCGTGAAACACTAGGTGAAGATATTTCCAGGGCAAATCATCCTTTACTTTTTGTCACGCTTTCAGATGCAAATGCGCAGAAAAAGGAGGTAATCGGGGCCATGTTGTTAATAACATGAATGATTGCAGTCTCCAGTGGTTTCGCACAATAGGTGAGAGCCAAAAGACCTGACCTCAGACGTGAATGCTTTTATTCGACACACTAGACAATGAATTAAAACGCATCAATCTACATTTTAAGTCTTTCAATGAGGTACAAAATAAGTAATGATTATACTAGAGTTTAAACCAACATCACCAATTATTCCCTTGTAGCTAATCATTACTAATCTGCAAATTAAATGAGTGTTGGCTGCAGGTCAGTTAGAAAAGTAAATATTCAAAACTGGATAAAATTAGGAACTCGTTCCTTCTATTCTTTGGTTGTGCTACTCGTTTTATACATGACTGTATTTTGGATCTAGGAACCTCGTCAATTTTTTCCAGGCAAATGTCTTTTTTTGCTCCTAAATTATGATTGAATATAAATAAAAATGCATAATCTATAATGTTAATAAGTCGATTACTGATGCCAGGCTCATAAGGCATTAAAAAACCGATTTCTCACACTAAATTGGAGCATAAGTGGAAAAAAACAGTCAGTTGTCTGTACGAGTTTCTTGATAAAGTCAAAAACACCTCGTCGACATTATTTTTTGCAGCATTTACATAAAAAGTGAGCGCGAACGTGGATTAAAATCGCTAAGAAATAGACGAGGTGGGAATGTCACACTGGACAATATTTTATTTTACACTGCTAAACGTACAGTGGACCTATTGTTGATACCACAGGGGATTTTAGCCCAAATAATATGGTCAGTGGAGGGGATATTTTAAATTATCAGAAGAGTTTAGTGATTCGTGGGCTCGTGCGACTAATTTGCACTTCATCTGTACAAATATAATGCGCGCAAAATGGGATTTGTTAATTCATAAACAAAGGGAAACGTTGAAAAAC